GTCCAACCTTCGACACCATATAAAAGAATGTAGAAGACATAACATCTTACTAGTCTAATTTTCAGTCTCAAAGTAATATTGTTTCCACGTAACCATCATCTTTGTCCTTATGGTGTTTAGCTTCAGTTCATATTCATTACAGGTTGTGGTAATCCTATTAATCAGATGTTGAAATTATTCATAACTACTTACAATTAGCTCCATTTCATGTGCGTACCTCAAATTATCAATATTGATGCCGTTAATTTTGATATCACATTGAACATGATCCAATACTTTATTGAAAACGAACTCCGAATAGATGTTAAATATTAGTGGGAACAAAATGCAAGTTTCGGAATTATGGATTATAATGTGGAGAACTCATTGTCGGAATATTTTTGTTTTTGTTTAAAACGGCCTCTAAAGACTGACTAAAGCCAGGTTTATAAACGGACATAGTACATAATCATAAGTCATAAACATTACTTTAACCACAATCATAATTCACAAGATTTAAGATTGGTTTATAACTAGACATAATACCCAACCATAATATTTAAAAACTACTTCAGAAAATACAAACCTAACCAAATTTTTATAGATCTTGAAGAATTTATTCTGGTCTTTAGATTCATAGAAAAGTGAAATAATTTTAAATAAATATGAAGATTAATAGAAAAGTTGCTTTGGCCATGGCAGCAGTCCCACTTTATTTAACAATTGTAGCGACTATATCTGCCAGAGTTCTTAACAAGCAAAGAAGAGTAGGAAGGTATAGTGTAAGACCCATAAATATAAAGCATGATAAGAAATGGGATGAGGAACCGTTCTTTAATTTTTTACGTTGGATTACACATGCGCATATTCCAACAATTCCATAATGTTTAATACTTAATTCATAAATGTTAAAAGTTACCAACTTTGAAGGTCACGTTTTAAGGACTAAATTTATGTTTTATGTATTATGAATGCTTTTAAATGGGTACATTTATTTATTAACTTTCAACATTATGGTTATATAATAAGATTATGGTTAAAGACTAAAATTATGTTTATGTCCGTTTATAAATCCGACTTAACTTGCTGAATGCTGCCCATACAAGTTGTAATATTCATTTGATTACCAGTAATTGGGTTGGCTCCTATAGTGTTAGTTTCTGGGCTATGTTTCAAGACCAATATATTTTTCCTGAATTGTATTTGTCTTATATATTGACGATTTGTCATTAGTCTTATTTTTGATATGTTCATTTTTATGTTAACTTTTTGCGTTGTTTTTTGTACTAAGTATTTGCTCCAGTTCGTTCATAGTGTTTGAAGTAATATTATACTGTCTAAGAATTTCAGGTTTTGTCATATAGCGTCCGTTGATTTTTAAGTTTTTGATACATCTTCCAGTAAGTTAATTAATAGTTTCGGGGATAGCGGGTCTTCTTGTCTAATGCCTCTTTTATATTTCAATCGGTTGTGTGTTGGCAAATAGGTTATAGTGGCGTCCTTGTACATGTCTTTAATGACCAGAAAGCATATGTGGTCTATATTGTTTCTCTATAAGGAGTTTATTAATGCCCAGGTTTCTAACGTATCGAACGGTTTTTGAAATATATTAATGTTATATTGTAAATTGGCGAATATGAAAAATGGACCAACAATAATACTTGATCAAAAATTAATTTTGAAAGGTATTTGCGTTGTGTCATGAAAAAATATTTTTCCTTTCCACCTTTCCGATTATGGCTTCAAAAAATTATATTCTGCGATTAAAATTATATTATGGTACTTTCTCCATAACTTACGTCGATATCGCTGTTTATGTTCGTGACTGTATAACTACTTATTTATCCAAGAGATATGCTTTGTGGTTTTTTTGTTCGTAAGTAGTATATTAGGTAGTGGGAAGTTCGTTGATTCGGTTTATGTTTATATGAAACAAAATAAAAGTGTGTTTTATTTTTGTTTAAACAAATTATTTCATGTAGTTTATTATTTAGTTCAGATCTGTATGATACACACGCGTATAATCCGTCGCCGACTTTTTATTTTGTCTTATCGTTTCGACCTATTAAACTATTTTGTGATTCAAAATGCATAACTGGATTCTTAAACTCATTCACAGTTCTAAAAGTGAGTGTACTTTTTTTATAACTAATATATAAATTAAATAATTTATCGATTTTTGCACGGAGAATAATAATTCTATTAGAAATGAAGAAATGTCTGTTACAGTGTCACAAAATTTATTAAGGACAACTAATGTTAGGTCCATACTTCATGAAGCATATTATAGACTGATATTTTATTGTGTTTATATCCATATATTATCTTTGTACCCTGAATTGTCTAATACTCTTCCATTTTTCTCTATCCCAATCCATACACATATATCGTGAATGGGTGTGTTTTTTGGTCATTTGTCGAATTTATCTGTTGTCTTCCTGATTTTCGTTTATATATCTATGATCAAAAAGGTTTAATTGTTTATGTTTAATTGTAAATGTTTTAATTTTACTTTATCTTTCCTGTTTTTATAATACCTATTGTGGACGTTGAAATTCTATTTCAGTGTTGCTATTTGACTGCATTTTAAATTTTTTTGATGTTTCTGCGCCAGGTATTCTTCTGTTTATTTGCCATATGTCGATTATACTTTCTAACTGCTTTCTTTTTCATGGAGGCCTTCTGTTAGTAAACTTCGTAAACCTTTCGTAGAATACCCAGTTGGCTTATTGTACCAGATCTAATGACTAGCAGTCATATAAGATACAGGAGTCGGCATGTCAGGCAATAAATTTGCATTAAGAGAAAAAATGCAGCCTAAGATTGAATTTATTCAAAGAAATTACAAAAGGGATTCGAAAAGCGGTTACTGTTAGTTTTCAAATTGATGCCCATCTTTATCAATGCATATACTGCAACGTAGAGGTAGGTTTGGCGAAGCACGTCAAGCTGCCCGCGAAGATTTTCAAATTATTCTTCAATTGCAGTTCGGAAGACGAGAAGGATGCGTGGTCCTCTTGCAAAAAGGCGGTCCTTGAGAAGGCCCCATAGCAAGAAATCACATGGTGTCAGGTCACATGACCGTGTGGGCCACTCAACGATTCCTCGTCTGCCTTGCCATTCTCCAAAATGAACATTAAGGTACTCTCACACACATGCCGCGTAGTGCGGCAAAGCTGCTTCCTGCATGAACTGACGGATATTTGCGAGTGTTGGATCGTTGTCTATTTGCCCACGTAAATTTTTAAGCATTTCCAGATAACTTTGGCCCGTCACATTACCTTCCAAAAAGTACAGACCCACGAGACCTCCCGCATGGATATCTTATGCCGATTTTTCGATAGCGTTGTCAGACTTAAGCCGACCCCCGTATGATAGACTGTTTTAGATTCTCTGCTGTTATGATTCCTCCCAGCTGATTCCTACTTGTTTTCCGCAGTACTTCAACCCTATTATCATATGGCCGTCTAATATACATTTTGTCATGTATTTGACCAGATATGTTTTCCTAGTGAGAGTTATGTTTTCCCAGCGAAAGTTATGTTGCCTTCGGATCTTTTTTCTGGTCGCAAGCTCTTCTCGCAACTATATCAGCTCTTTCATTACCGTCTATCCCGATGACCTGGAACCCCTACCAGTGTGACACTGTTAAGTTCCGCCAGTCTTCTCGGCATTCCCGTACTAGCCTAGAGTTCACCTTAGGGCTTCTAAGAGCCGCTATAGCCGCTAGACTATGTGCACAAATATTGATCCGCTTCAGTTCGAAAGCTCTTAGAATAATTTCCTTTTTACATTACAAGTTTGCAAAAATATCTGCCTTAAATGCCTAATGTTTATATTTCCACTACTAAAAATAAAAGGAAATTAAGAGTTGAACCGTGTTCGTTTTTCTGAGAATCGAATTTTCGTTATTTTCCTCAACTTTTCCTTATTTTTCCTCAAACTAATAATTTTTTAAGTGGCATACAGGAGAAAATCACGAACACTGACCTATTATCATTATATGTTTAATTCATAATTAACACCGTTAGATCAGTAGCCCTTATGCCAATTTTTTTCGAAATAGAATCAATACTTTATCTATCCATTCGTAAAATGCAATAAGGAAGAAAATCTTCGCAACACATGCGATTTTTTTTTACAAGAGGAAATTTAATTTTCATCCAGATTTCCCCAGATTTGATCTTTCAGTACTCTCAAAGGAATAAAATCGTGGTTGAACTTCCATTGAAATCTTAAAAATAAAATGTCACAAAAAAGGGGAATTATGATTTTGGCGCCCAGTTAATATACAGGGTAGAAACCAGTTATGGAATAAAATTATTTCTGTCCTTGTTTTAGAAAATATAAAAACGCTATATATATATATATATATATATATATATATATATATATATATATAAATGTGCACTTTTTTTAATAAAGAGGCTGATTCACGCATGTCAAGCATGGTCCACAAGCTTTATTATTAATTGAACACCCTGTATATTTTTATGTTTTTAAAAGTTACTTAACAACCTAATCTCAACGAATTTTATCATAGCTTCTATTATGAATATTACAAGGTGAAATTTTGAAATTATGCAGTGAAAAACTACTGACGGAATAAAATTGTTTGTCGATATTTTAGAAAATTATAAAAACACTGGTACATGTCAACTCAACTTTTAAATTTATGTTTAAAAAGAAATTTATATATAAAAATCGACGGGTCTCAGCCCGTTTTTATGATTTTTTAAAACAAGGATAGAGATAATTTTCCACTCTATATATGTTGTATTAATCACAACCTCTCACTGCATTTTTATTCGTATTTTGCTATGGCTAAAAATCCAAGGTGATCTTTATCTTGAAGTAACAAGGTTTAAATAATAAATATAATACAATTTCTATTTACGTGCAATGCCAAGATGTAGATCACTTGGGTTAAATTTTTTTTTGTAATTGCTATGTTTTGCTTATATTTTAATTTTGCATGATTGTTTTACAAACTGTTTTCTTTTTCCTTAATACAGTGACAGACATTAAAGAGACTGCTACAGCCGTCAACTTTACTTTGATGAAACTAATATCATTAAAGGCTGATACAGAAGAAAATATAAGACCAACAGCAGGTAAATATTTCTTCAATATCGTTATTCTTTAATATTTATGATATATTCATGACAGGGCTACAGCTGGCTATATTGTACGTCTTAAATTCTAGGGTTAAATCTGAACAAGTTTGTTCACATTATTACTGTCTTTACTATAAAACCCTGATTCATGCAAGTCTAGCATAACCCGTAATATTTATTTTTAATGAAACACCTTATATATTTTTATATTTTTAAAAGCCTAATAACCTGTTACGGAATTAAATTGTGTCCCCATTTTAAAAAATTATAAACGACATCATCATCATCAATTGGCGCTACAGCCCTTCGTGAACCCTGGCCTGCCTTAAAACTTTTGTCCATCCTTTACTGTCGAATGTCTGTCTTCTCCATCCCCTTACTCCAATCTCCCTTAAATTGTCCTGCATATCGTCCAGATACCTGAGTTTAGGTCGATCCCTTCTTCTGACCGGCCTATTTAGCATGCTTATTTTAGAAGGAATACTTTCATCCATTCGCATAACGTAGCCCACCCATATTAGGCGGTTTATTTTAATGGTTTTTACGATATCTGCATCACCAAAAAGTCTATTACGTCGGCTTAGTGACACAAAAATGTAACTACATTTTTTCACGTTTTGACATATTTACACCATTGAACTTACCTTAGTGAGTTCTATTGACCGACAAAAAATTGTATCTCTTCGAGCACTCAAAACCCCAATAAGGAGTTTTTGTAACTACATTTTTTAACAATCTATTAGTGTCACAGAAATGTAAGTGCTGTTATATTTCTGTGATACTACGTTTTCGTACTATAAATAAGCTGATATTGAGTTACCTTTTTGTGGCTTAAATTTTATTGCACTGAATAGTGGTTGCAGGTAGTATCTGTGGATTTGATAATTTGTTTATTATATTTATCAGGGTGGTCCGTTTCCTTTCCAGTTCTGTTACAACTGTGAAGACGTAAACACGTAAATCAGTTTTAAGTTAATTGTTGTAGATATTGTTATAATATTCGTTATAATACTGTTTTATAATTTTATTATTACACAATAATGAATTCAAGAGGGAAGAAGTTAGTTTTGTTAGCTCTTAACAAATCGGTACGAGATGCTGAAATGCATAGTCATAATTTAGTGCTTTCATCACAAGTGACATATTCAGATAGTGCCTCGCATGTTTTTACTAGTGAACCTAATTTATCAGGGTATGAACATTGTGAGGATATATTTTTTGGTGTCGATTCTGATGAAACACATATTCATAATTTACCGTTCTTATCACAAGTGATACATTCAGATAGTGCCTCGCATGTTTGGATCAGTGAACCTAATGGATCAGGATATAAACAATGTGAGGATATATTTTTTTGTGACGATTCTATTGATGACCCTCCTTATGCTCCGTCAACTCCCGAGTTTTCATCTGGGAGTCTTTTAATTCTTCGGTTCAAAAACCGACAGCTAATACAGAAATGAGAAATGAAGGAAGCAATGTGTTGGAGCGGAATGTGAGTGCAGTGGGTACCAGTGATGGTAGCGCAATGGGTATCAGTGATGGTAGTGCAGTGGGTACCAGTAATGGCAGTGCCAGTTTGCAATGTAAAAGAAAAAGGAAGGCTGAGCCGAGTACATGGAAGAACAATATACGCAAGAGGTTGACACAGACTGGTAAGTCCTATATTTCTATTCGAGGCAAAGCAGTTAGTGCAAGGAGTGTAAAACCAAAGGATTGTTCTAAATGCCCCAAAAAATGTAATAGTAAATTTATTGAAGAATATCGGCAGCTCTGTCACTTTTCATTTTGGAATGAGCTTGGAAACATTGAAAAGCAAAAGCAGTATATTTCTTCTTTAGTTGAAGTAAAACCAAAAAGTTCAGTTAGAACAAAAGCTGAGAATTCACGACGTTCAAACACCAGAGAGTATTATTTAGTGAAAGAGGGTAACAAAATTCAGGTTTGTCAGGGTTTAAGTTTCAACATATCAGAAACCTTTGTAAAAAATATACTGAAAAATAGATCGGATTGTCATGTTGTTCAGACTAGTAAAAGAGGTCGTCATCCTCCTGGAGTCGCAAGACCTGAAGACGCTAAAGAATTTATCAGAAGCCATATTAGATCTTTTCCTACAGTCCCTTCACATTATTGTAGAAAATCTTCAACCTATGAGTATCTACCACAGGATCTCAACGTACAAAAAATGTATGATTTGTATGTTTACAAAGGCAAGAGTGAGAAAATAGTGCCTGAGAAATTATGGTTGTATAGACAAATTTTTCACAATAACTTTCATTTAAAATTTCAAGTACCAAGAAAAGACATGTGTGATACCTGTTTTAGATATCAAAATGCAACTGAAGATGAAAAGAAAGACTTGCAAAAGAATTACGAACAACATATCAACAGGAAAAATGCTGCTAGGGAATTTCTCGACAAAGCTAAGGCGGATGCTTTGGAAAACAAAATAAATTTCATTCAATTTGATCTGGAGGCTGTAAGGTACTGCCCTTTCACAAATGCTAAAGCAATATTTTACAAAAGACGACTGGCCGTATATAATCTTACTGTTTACGATGTCAGGACCAGAAATGCTACTAATTATATGTGGCATGAAGGAGTGGCTGGCAGAGGTTCGAATGAAGTGTCCTCTTGTCTCTATAAATATCTACAGGACAATTGCGATGGTAAAGAGTTTGTTTTAATGAGTGACACGTGTGGTGGCCAAAACCGCAACGTAAATGTATCTGCTATGTTGCTTTACGCTGTTCAGACATTAGATATTCCAAAAATTGACCATTGCTTTTTTGAACCTGGCCATTCGATGATGGAGTGTGACTCGGTCCATGGTCATATTGAGAAAGCATCAAAAAATGTGAACATATTTGATCCCACTGGGTGGTACACCATTGTAAGAACGGCGTCAAAGAAATCAAAATACACTGTACACGAGATTGGACAGGAAGAAATTTATGATTTCAAAGCTTTTGCCACAATTTTAATAAAAAACAAAAAAGTGGACATCGATGGTAGTAGCATAAATTGGCTAAAATTAACATGGGTGCAGTACAGAAAAGACAATAATAAACTTTTAAATAAATTTTTTAAATATAATACGGAAAATGAAAATTTCGGGTCTTTTGAGGTTACCCGAAAAGAAACTAGGAAATTTTCCATGCCAAATTTAACAACGGCATATGAAGGAGCAAGGCCAATAAAAGAGAAAAAATATAAGGATTTAGAAGAGCTGTGTAATAAAGGCATTATTCCTTCCCAGTACCATCTCTTCTTTAAGTCGTTGCTCACCAACAATATGGACAATCAATCAGATTAACATGATTAAAATTATTGTTTGATAAGGCTTTTAAAGTTTATGTTTAATTAAAAAAAATATTTTATGATTTTAAATAATGTTATAAACATCTCGATGGGAATAACCACAATCTATTTATAAAAAAAAAATTATTGACGTTTCGACTTCTAAATTCAGAAATCATTGTCCAAACATTTTATAAAGTTTCTTTTTTTAATAAATATTATTGTGGTTATTTCCATCAAGACTTTTAAATAGTATTTAATGCCACAAGAAAATATCGTCAGAACAATAAAAAGTTATAACATGAATTACGATTATTAGTTTTATTATTATTATTAATAAATTGGGTAACCCTCAGTAGTGAAATTAGATTACAATGCTCTAACAACAAAGAATTATTACAAGTAGGTACCATTTCATTTTAGAAAAGCTTAGTCTTAATCCTATTATAAAATTATTTTTATTTAAATGGCGTGGTTAAGTTTTCGGACCAGGTAGAGAATAATAAATTTTAATCTATTGTACTTTTAATTATTATACCTGCCACTCAGTATGTTTATCTCTCGAAACTTATCCCTATTACTCCAATACAAATGACTGTAATAGGATTAAGATTAAGCTTTTCTAAAATTAAATGGTACCTACGTAAGTCTCAATAGACTTTTCAGTTAGTGACACAAAAATGTATCTCCGCTACTTTATTTAATTGTTGATATTTTGAGAACACAATTTAGCCATTGTTGTGTATGATTGTATTACCGTAATGACAACATTTATAACATTAATAATTCGGAACAAAAAAGTTGAGGATAAACTACAAGTCATTACAAAATGCAAATCATTTTTTTAAAACCCTTAAATAAGCTCTCCTGAAAAGTAGTCATTTTTGAGATACATTTTTGTGTCATTAAGCCGACGATTAGTGCAGTCATTGAAGCATTATTGCTCCGATTTTTTTACTGTGAATCGAATTGCATACAATTTTGGAATTAGGTTCATCTTACCCTTAACTTCAAAAGTAAAAATGATTTGAACTCCCACCCCTTCTCGGGGGTGAATTATAATATTTTCAAAATAACCTCGGATATCGATAGACGGCCTAATTTTAAGCAAAAAATCGTCTATAAAGTTTTTCGAAAAATCCAATACTTTTCAAGTTATTGGCAATTGAAAATTCGCAATTTTTTTCACGTTTTTCATCGGTTTTTTGCAAATTGTTTCAAAAATATACGTTTTATCGAAACTTTTACAAAAAACAAAATTGTAGCAGGTAAAAAAATGAACAATTTGGTTTTTTATAAAGTTTTTTCGGTGTAATATTAATAAAAAGGGTTTTGTAGTGCTTGAAATAGCTTTGAAATGAGCACTATTAAAAGTCTTGCACGTAAAATATTGCTGTATTGCAAATAAAAGGAGCATCTAATGTTTTTTCTTTTAAATCAATGGGTTTCATAAGTGCCATTTCCACCAAAATTAAAATTAATCGTATTCTGCCTAGAATTAATTTTATTATGAAGAGTTTGATAGATTGTATCAGTTTGGCTGCTTCAGAACACATATTTTTCAAAAAGTCACGATTAAAAAAAAAAATATCCAATTTTTAAAAAACCACCTTTTTTCATAATATCTCAAAAATGACGATAGATACGTATAAAAGTGTAGGGATAAAAAATTTAGGTATTTTTCTGACAAATAATTTGGTTTTTTTTTTGTTTTTCTGTCAAATAAAAATTGATGGAGATATGATTGTTTAAAGAGCGATAGCATGAAAATTGAAGGAAATGGCACCTATGAAACCCATTGATTTAAAAGAAAAAACATTAGATGCTCCTCTTATTTGCAATACAAGTCACTTATTTTACATTAAAAAAACTTTTAATAGTGCTCATTTGAAAGCTTATTTCAAGCACTACAAAACCCTTTTTTATTAGAATGCCTAAAATGCATCTACTCGCCGCTAGATGACATTGGCCACATTGATTAAATTTCAGACAAAATAAAAAACGGCTTTGATCTCTAATATCTAGCTTAATATTGCACTTAAAATACTTTATAAAAAAACCAAATTGTTCATTTTTTTACCTGCTACAATTTTGCTTTGTATAAAATTTTCTATAAAACGAATTTTCAATTGCCAATAACTTGAAAAGTATTACATTTTTCGAAAAACTTTATGGATGATTTTTTGCTTAAAATTAGGCCTTTTATCGATATCCGAGGTTATTCTGAAAAAAAATTCACCCCCGAGAAGAGGTGGCAACGACCCCCAGGGTGGTTGCGGAGTTCAGATCATTTTCACTTTTGAAGTTAAGGGTAAGATAAAAATAATTCCAAAATGTCATGCAAATCGGTTCAAAGTAACAAAATTCGGAGGTATGACCGTATTTTTCGTTTCAATGACTGCACTATATATAGAGTTCGAAATTATACCACCTTCTCCACAGATCCTGTTCGTTATCTTTGCCATATATAGTCTTCAATACTGTTCTTTCAAAGATTCGTAGAAACTCTTCATCTCGGGTCGTCATTGCCCATGTTTCCGATCCGTAGGTGAACACTAGGCGTATTATTGTTTTATAAAGTTTGCACGTTCTTGGCCTTGACATATTTTTCGCTCTTGGTTAAGGACCTATATCAAAATAACAGCAGTTACCCACGCATATTATTTTTCTTATTTCTTTGGATATGTTGTTTGGTGACCCTAAATAGCAGAACGCTTCTACCGTTTCTATAGTTTCATGTTGCACCTCAAGTTATTTTGTTGCATTCTTTATATAACTGGCAAATATTTAGTTTTCTGTGATTTAATCAGCAGTCCGATGTTTTCTGCGGCGTTTTTAATTCGTTTGAAAGCTTCAATTGCTTCATTTCGGGTTCTTCCAGTGATCACGATATCATCAGCATATGCCATTCTTTGTATACTACGGGTATATATTGTACTTCTTAAGTTTATTTCCAAATCTCTTATAACTTTTTCTAACGGTAGATTATATTGTCAGTATACTGTGCCTGTGCCAATCTTTCATTAAGTATCAGAGATAGAATTTTGTATGCCATATTAAGAAGGGAAATCACTCTAAGTTGGAACAGTCAAGCACGTTTCCTTTATTGTGTATAGGGCATATAATTTTAGTATTCCCATCTTCGGGTGAAGCGCGTTTTTTACCATACCTGTATTAATAGTTTGTGAAAAGACTGTATGTTTGACCGCCACATTTAAATAATGCTGGGGGCAGGTTATCTGCTCCGCATGACTTGTTTTTGACTAGAGACTGAATTGCTTTATTCATTTCTTCCAAAGTTGGTAATATTGGTACCTGAGTTTCCTCCTCTTCTAGTTTTATATCATTTCCACTTTCAGCTCTACTTTCTTCATTAAGTAGAGTACCAAAGTGTTCCTGTCACCGTTTCAGTACCTACTTTGTCGTTTAGAAGGATTCCATTATGAGCCTTGAGTTAGTTCGTTTGTGGCTTGAAAACTATTTTTTTTGTATTAACCTGTTTGTAAAATTTTCTGTGTTCGTGTTCTCTATTTAATTTGTCCATTTCTTCCAACTCTTTTTTGATCTGTTGCCGCTTTTTCTGTTTGGACTTTTTTTATTCTCTTTCCTTTTTTCGATATTTTTCAACATTGCTCCTAGTCCTCCTGTTGATTATTTTCAGATACGCGTCACTCTTCTCTTTGGTTACTCGTTTGCATTCCTCATCAAGCCAGTTGTTTCGCTGCCCTTTGGGTACGTCACCCAAAACATCATATGCGGTCTTTTGCAGCTTGGTTTTTATAAACTCCCAATTTGTATTAAATTCAGTGGGATCTACTTCACTTCTGGGATGTATGTAGAGTTTACGATCTAAGCATATTTGAAAATTTCTGACGACTTCAGTACACTTTGATCAATGTTATTTTATATATTTTTGGCTTAGTTTTATCGTTTCTGGCATTTGATATAGGTACTCTGACACTCTCAGCTATGAGATAGTGATCGGAGTCAATATTAGCTATATCTAGCTAGTCAATATAACTTCTGCAGTCTAGAACATTTGATCCATTTCTTGAATCAATCAGTATGTGGTCTATCTGATTTTTTGTCTGTTTTGTCTTTATGTATACGCTTATGTTGGAAGTATATACTACTGATGGCCATGTTTAGATAGGCTGCTAAATTTACAAGTGTTCCATTATCATTATATTCTTTGTGTATGCCATGAGGTCCTATAGTTGGAGTGATGAATCATTCTGTATATTGTATAGTTAATTGAGATCAGGTAAAAGTATACAGATACCGATTGCACTCGTAACTATCAGAGTCAGAACGCTAGAGTTCGATTCTCGGTACCAATAACGGCATTTTCATTTCTAAAAATGATAACGAGCCGCCACCGTGCTTCGAAGGGCACGTTAAGCCGTCGGTCCCCCTTGGCTAGTGTTCATCGACACTAGTTTCCTGAAACAGGGTTAACGATGCAATTGTCCCGAGAACAATCCGAAAGGATCTTCTCAACAAAAATGCCATACGATATTATTATATTCTATTAGTATTAGCTTATAATTACGTATGTAAATTCTTTTATATATTTCAGTCTGTGATGATAAAATGCCAAATGAATTAGATTTGCATTCAGTATTAGACGTTTTGAATCAGTATCTCATGCATAATTCCATACAAACAAAAGTAGCAGTCCTGAAATGGATCCACGATTTGTATACAAAATTACCGAACAAGGTAGGTGGAATGGTAGAATAAGTTTTCAATTATATATCTTTAAAAAAATAAAAACGGGATGCGACACACCGAGAGTGTCCTCGGAGGAAAAACATGGGTTTTATTATTTTATTTTGTTTAATTTTGTTTTTTTTTGTTTAATTTTTTTTTTATTTTTATTTTATTGAGAAACTGCGTTTATTATTCCACTTAGTGTGTGGTCACGGGATCTGTCGTATCATTGCATTTCAGTCATTTTTCAATCGATCAATGCATTCAGTATGTAGCTCGCACTAAGAAAACTTGTTTTGCGTAAAACTTAATGAGGTCGCTGGTTAAATGATTAGAATAATAACGAAAAAAAAAACTGCAATATTTTGATTGTTAGCAATAATATTATTGTTACCAATAATAAATTAGCAATTAAGTTAACTATCACGAAAATTACCTGGCTTAACTCATTGCTGTTATCTGTACAAAGAAAAAACACTTACCTTTGAAATATGGTGTATTAATTGCATTAAAGCAATAGAAGAGTAGCATCTGCTCGTCGCGACGCAAGGGACGCATACGTCCTGGTCAAACTAGAGGAGATGTTCACATCGCCATGTCTCGCGTGTCTTTTAGTGGTACAAAATAGTCAAGAACCCTCTGACAACCCTTCTTAGGTGGTCTGCAGGTTAGTAGAGCAAGCGCACTCCCATAAATCACCACTATTGTAAGACAACAATTTAACTAAATGGTCACAGAAATTTGATATTTTGTAGCGTTTTCTGTGTTTTCGAGAAATAACAAAGACACGTGAATTTCTTTGAATTTAAAAACAGATTACCATGTGATAGCCAGTTTAACAATGAGAAATTACAGAATAGAAGCAAAAAAATATGGTGCTGGTTCGGTTTGCGGTCTACGGCAGAGTTTCTAGTTCGGTATGCGGCAAACGTCACCTATCATCAAATGCTGTTGAGACACTCACTAAAATTCTATATTTATTTGTAGCAGCAAAATAAAGTAACAAGTAGTTCAATGAAAATTCAAAACTTTTAGTTACTTCTTAATGTAAATTTATGACAAGATTTAATTAGAGGCATTTATACATATACATTTCTAACATAGATCTATACAGAAAAATGATAAACTTATCTTCTACATTTCTTCGTAGCACTTTCCACACAAGATAATCCAAATGGGACTGCAAAGTACTGACAGGAACACTTCTCATTTTCTTTTGTGGTTCTGTTCTGTTCTGTTCGTGGTTCGACATAATTTTCTGGTGGTTAACTGTTGAGTGCATGTAGCCCAATTGGTGCAAATTGCCGTATGGTCGCCATTCGTCCGAGTGAATTACTAACCCAGCTTCAACTTCTAATTTGTTTGAGGTTAGTTTGTTTTTGCATTCCTAATTGATCAGTATTGGGTTTATAATAGTTTCTCTAATTTGTTTTTGTACCTATTTCAGGAAGACGTAGACCGCATTCCGAATCAGCTAAACTGCCTTCTTCTTCTTAAGAGTGCCGTCTCCTTACGGAGGTTGGCAATCATAATGATCTGCATTGATTTCAATCACGTAGATTCTTTAACCATGAGTTCTGCTTTCGGCCAACAGATCTTTTTCCTTGAATCTTTCCCTGTATTATGAGTCTCAAAATTTCATATTTTGGACCCCTCATCACGTAGCTTAGGTATTCCACTTTTCTGGTTTGTATAGTGGTGATTAGTTCTGTTTGTTTACCAACCATCTCCAGTACTTCTTTATTAGTAATTCTATCAGTTCATGATATTTTTAATACTCTGCGGTATAACCAGAGTTCGAAAGCCTCGATTCTTTTTAAATTGCATTTTTTAATGACCAAGTCTCAGCTCCATATAATAATATTGAAAATATATAACAGCGAATGGTACGTAGTCTGATCTCCAAATTTAGATTTTTGCACGTTAGGAGTGGCTTCATTCGTATAAATGCTGAACTGGCAATCTCTATTCGCCTGTTTATTTTCCGATGATCATCGGTTTCATTGATCAAAGTTCCCAAGTACTGATATTGTTCTACTTGTTCTATCACGTTACCATAGATTGTCAATAGGTGCTGTATATTTTGTGGTCTTTTGTAATTAGCATGTACTTCCTTTTTTAGCGTTTATAGTAATTCCCATCTCAGCAATATTCATACTCAAGCTTTCGATAAGATGTTGTAGATCCTCTATACTCGTTGCTATGATCACAGTGTCGTCCGCATATCGTAAGTTGTTAATTAATTTTCCGTTAACGGTCACTCCCGCTTCGATATTATTGAGCGTGTTTTGGAAAATTTCTTCAGAATATAAGTTAAAACAAAAGTGGCGATAAAACACATCCCTGTCTAACTCCTCTACAGATCTTCATTTCTTCTGAGTGTTGCCCATCAACTTGAACTAGGGCACTTTGACTAAAAAATAATGTTTGCACTTTATTTATGATTTTACTGTCAATGCGTTTGTTATTGATATTAGGTTTTCATGTCTTACTTTATCGAAAGCTGTTTTGTAGTCAATGAAGCACAAGTGTAGATCATCGTTTACATCCCGATATCGCTAAGTCAATATGTATGGCAGATAGTCCTTCTCAAGTACCCATTCCATTTCGGAACCCGATTTGCGTCTCGCTAATATCCTCCTCTAGCCTTTCTTATATTCTCTTATGTATTACTTTCAGCAGTACTTTTAACGTATTACTCATGAGGCTGTGTTCGATAATCAGAGCACTCTTTTGCTGCTTGTTTTTTAGGAATGGTTATAAATGCTGACTTTAGCCACTTCAGCTAAACTGCCGTAGATCGCATAAGTATTAGACGGTAGACCGCATACCGAACCGGCACCAATAATATACTGTAATCTTTTAAAGTAAATAAGTAGTTAGAATATTATTAAATAAGATCATATTATAATATAGTATTAAAAATATTGAATATAAAATATGTAAATAAATACTAAATACTTTCCCAAACAAAGCTATTCTTCCAAAAATATTTTAAACTTCAATTGAAGTTGTACCATATATTATCAAATATCTATGTCCAAAATATACAAGGTCGTCCTTATATCCCACTCTTTATCCTGAAAAAATGGAATCCTTGGTCTAGTTAGTATCATATGAAATTAAAAGTTCTGGTATTCTGCTGTCGATTCTAATCTCTCGATCGTTCCTGACCAGTTTCACAATAGGCACAATATGAAGAAACTAGGCGTTTTTTTTAAATTGTAAACTGTGCAATAAGTTATTCATCTTCAGAAATCCTGACTCTTTCTATTTGTAAGTTCCTTGGTTTGTCGGTCTATTATATATAAAACGCTATTTGCCAAACATACTTGCACGGTTGATAATTAAGAAGGATTTCGATCCTTCTTAATTAAATATATATATATATATATATAATATATATATATATATATATATATTATAAATATATATATATATATATATATATACATATATATATATATATATATATATTATATATATATATATATATATATATATATATATATCGGTGAGGTTGGTCCATCTCTTCAGCTTCTTCACTGCTTGATCTCCATGAATGCGCCTGGTGGTGGCATATAACCCCTCTGTAACAGAAAGCATCGGAAAAGGAGTACGACCGTCAATCCAATATATAATAAGGATCACTCAGACGAGTGGTGGGTTCTTATATCGGTCTCAAAGTGGAGAAATAAAAAGACAAAGTTGATGGCTACTTTATCTATTTTGAAGACGTTTCGCTTTCGTATTCTGAAATCATCATCAGTTCATCTAAAAAGTACAATATGAAAACCACAGGCAGTCGTGAGGCCTCGATTGGTAACTTCATTTTACACTATATTTATTTAAATTTTAATATTAATCTCTTTAATAATGCTACCTAAGGTTAAAATCAAACCATAAATATTGCATATAGTTGGAAGTGAATCTATGATATTCTTAGTTCTTCATTCTCTGCTTAATGTTAAATTACAATTACATGTATATTAGACCACATGTCCTTTTGCTGTGCTAAGTTTTAATAAGTTGCTAATTGTTGTTAGTTTAATTGATTGTTTATACAATATTACCGTATAATGTCCATTTACTTGAGCTTTATCACAATTTTAATATCATTGACTGCTACAAATCTTTTTAAGGTAACATAACATCTTTTCCATGCTTGTGTGGTTTTCATATTGTACTTTTTAGATGAATTGATGATGCTTTCAGAATACGAAAGCGAAACATCTCCGAAATAGATAAATTAGCCATCAACTTTGACTTTTTATTTCTCCACCTTGAGACCGATATAAGAACCCACCACTCGTCTGAGTGATCCTTATTATATATATATATATATATATATATATATATATATATATATATATACATACATATACATATAATATATAATTGGATTCGACAGAAATCGAAATAGAGTTGAAATTTCCGCGAGAGCTATAAGTGCTTTCAGTGGTCTTCCGAATTTGAATCCGCATTGAATAATTTTGAGAAAAACAATTAGTTTGGTGACGTTTCGGCAAGGTTACTTTCTGCTGGAACTTGAAGTAAAATGGCCAGCCATTTTACAGCCTAGAGTTCACCTGTGGTGCATGTTATTTCAATCTGGTCTTCTTAGGCCAATAAATAAACAATGTATTCTGGCTTAAGATTAAGAACGATAGTATTTTAACGTTTACTGAATGGTGTTTATTGACCTTTTCAACATCTACATGTCTGTGGATATCTTCACTTCTACTACACCAAGGAGTAGTATTTTTTTCGAATAAACCAATCTTTTCTATATTGTTTTTCGTCTTTTTTATTGTCTATGTATTTAGTTTTAGAATAAACTACTTCTTGGCTTCTGGTACTTTTAATTACATTTTCTATTATATTGTAACAGTGTCTTGTTTTAGATGGGAGAGTATTTCGATATTCTCTTCCCTGCATTACAGAGAACACTTTCTGATGAATCCGATCAAGTCGTTCAACAATGTTTGGTAGTCATAGCTGAAGTTATTTCATCTCCAGGACCAGAAGAAGTTAATAACAGAGGTAAGCTTAAAAATTATTTTGCAATATATAGTGCTTTTATCGAACACAAGACTTTAGATGTGTGGGTGCAAAAATACTATCTTGTTATATAGTGGTAAAATTTAATCATTTATATAACTTGGTTTAACTGATTAAACAGACCGGCATAACTATCATACATGGGCCAGATCAAAGTTTTTAAGGAAGTACAAACAAAAAGCTTGAAGGTGCAATCCAAACTAATAAGAAAAGCAAAAATAACACATTCTATTAAAGTTTCCATGCTTTGACAGTCTAATATAACAGAAAGATTTCTAAAAAATAATTTTTTGCGCAATAGTGATCTAACAATATTCTAAAGTGGGATTAATTTTCCAAAAAGATATCAAATCATTAAAAATAATAAATTAAAAACTAAAATTTTCTCTTAACTCTCTTTTTATGCCTGCACCAAACGACGATGGTAGATTATAAAGTCTTTTTATTTGATTTCCATGCAATAATGATGAATTGGCATACTTTTAATTCATTTTTGTGCACTTTGATCATTTTCCCATAATTGTAGACATCCGTTTATGTAAATGGACGTAAGCATTCAATAAACAGATGTCCTTAAATACGAACGAGCATTAAAAAACAATTTTATTTTTGTTTTTTAACTATTATAAATTAACTTTGATCAAATGAAAGGCAGATATCGAGCACAGTTTATTAATTAAATCCTGCCCTGAAAATTAAAGTACTTTCGCTTCCTAGAGCATCTTCAGTGGCATTTCGTTAACATTCTATGATTGTTGGATAGGCCAAAATTGACGAAATGCCCCTGAAGATGCTCTAGGAAGCGAAATTACTTGGGCGAGATTTAATTCATACACTGTGCTCGATATCTGCCTTTCATTTGATCAAAGTTCATTTATTCGAGCATTCAACCTTATATCAATATTATAAATTAAACGGATATGATTAGGCTTATTTGCTACAATGGGATTTTGAAAATTAATCAATACAAAATAATTTTATCAACTACAATAACTATAAAATAAACAAATAAAAAGGTAATATCTGGTGCAAATTATTAGTGATAAATATTATTTATTTATCTAATAAAAATAAAAAATTATGTTTTTTTTTCTGCAAATTATATTATCAAGTGTGCCTTGAAAAAATAAGGTATGACGTAGTTGAATGATATAATTTAGTTACTTGTCAAAATGATAAATATGCGGAAATTCCATTGTACATAAACATTGTACATTAAAAAGGACTTTCTGGACATTAAATTGCTTAAAATCTAAGTATTCTTCAAGGAACTTAACTAAAAATCATATTAACAAGCTGAATTTTGCCGAGAATATTAATATTGGGACCTCAAAAGAGATGCAAAAAAGTTTACCACTTTTACCCCCGCCTTCCCCCTAAAACCCATTAGTAGGGTTGTAAAAACGCAAAAAAAAACGATTTACCAAGAATCTATATGCTGTAGAAAAAAATGCTTCAAATAAAAAATGTAGTTGAGATCATTTTAACCCTTTCGCTCACGACTTTTTGTTTCATAAACAAAAATTCTAAAATTGAAGATACAAAATAGATGATTTTTTTTAAGATTTTTAATATAATTTACACAATTTTCTACTTTCGTAATTAAGAGTTATAGTATGTATTCAAACGTATACATTGTGACTTGCAGATAAAATTGATTTATTAAATTTTTATATGTAAAATAAAATAAAATGGTGATTTTCTGTATATAGAATTGGTACTTATTATAAAAACTCATTACAAACTTTTATTTATTTATTATGAAATGCCAAAAAACAGTTTTTATTTTTTTGCAAACATAAGTGATTGTTACATTTGACACACATAAAACGACTTTGTCCTCTACAACCAGGATTTTTACATCTTGATGCATATGAATTTCCGTCAACAGAAGGTAAGTGTCCTGGGTTATCATACCTGACATCTGGAATTGGTCTGATTTCAGACTTGGCCTTTTTGGGTGTCGAAGAAGTATTTTCATAATCTTGCTCTGACAGTGGTCGTCCTCTTCTTTTATTATTGCATTTTTTAACTTTTATTAGAGCTTCTGCTATGTAAGCTCTAAATGCCAATAAATCTAAAATTTCATTTTTTCGAATCCCAAGTGCTGTGGCTTTGCTTTTATATTCTAGTCATGCATTACAACAAGCAAGGTCTATTCCGTGTGCAAACATTCGAAGTGTCCATTTTCGTGACCGTATAAAAGTTCGATATAATGTTAACAAAAAATCTAATTTATCAACACCACCCATAGCTGAATTATAAGTCTTTACGACTTCTGGTCTAGGGACATCAATATATTTTTTTTGTATTTTATCCCATCGCCTGCAGGTGTCTGGTGTCCCTTTACCTATGTAATTAGATGCCAACACAACACTTTTATTATCATACCATTTTGTTAAAATTACTTCACCATCTTGACTTATCAGTTCTTCAATAGTTCAGCATGTATAAATGTGTTTATTTCGTAAATATTGAAGAATATTGTAATTAGAAAAATAATTATCAAGATGTAATTGAACATTTGCTACAGTAATTCTTTCAGCCAATGTTGAGATCACTGCACCTGCAAGTCCAAAAATATCAGAGTGATTTTGTATGAACTCTGTTGATGAACCTTGATAGATTATGAAGTCATACATCAACCCACTGCGGCCATACAAAGCAAAAATTTTGAAACCCCATTTTGTGGGTTTATTTTTAATATATTGTTTTATGTTAATACTAACTTTGAATGGAACCATCTGCTCATCGATACATAATTCTGATTCCAAAGGAAGTGATAAGCATCTTTGTCTAATAGCAGTATATAAAGGTCTGACTTTCCACATCCTATCACTATTTTCTGGGTTTTTAGTGACGTCAACCATATGAACATTTTGTCTTAGTTTATAAAATCTATTTACAGACATACTATTAGCATTTAAACGATCTCTGGCTTTGATTACAGTAACATTTTATGCGTGGATAGTGTAAATTACCCATTATTATATGGATGCCAACAAATGTTTTCATCTCGTCTACACTTGTAGGATGAAATCTAACTCCCTGCTGAACTGCAAATAAATCGGTCTTTTCAGTCAAAAGTTCAAAAATATCGTTCGAAAAGTATTGACTAAAAAAATAAAATGGGCTTTCTAATTCAATAAAATCTTTGTTGGTATTCTTGTACCATTTTATTGCCGATGTAATGTAAACCAGCCCTGATCGCCACTGAATGTCTTTTTTCAGTGTCAGCTCATTATCTTCCATAAATTTTTGAATAGTTTCTTGTTTTTCTTATTTTGTTTTCTTCTTTATTACCTTCTGAAATTTAGCTGGTTCTATACAGACACCTGATGTACTTGGCTGGTGTATATTTACAAGTGACTCTGCATCAACTACCTCAATATTTTCATATGTCTTGTCCTGTTCTTCAGTTTGATGCTCTTCTTCACCGACACCTTCTTCGACATTTTCCAGATCAAAAAGGTCTTCAATATCACTCAAATCATCCATCCATCCAGTATTCTCCTCTTCATCACTAAGACAGTCGTTGTCCGAAAGACCCTTCTCCATTTCTTCCAATAGCTCTTCTGCTGTCAAGGGTTTCTTTAGATTACGTTTGGTACTCTAAAATACAAAATATACTTACTCCTATTGAGAAAAAATAAATAGATTTTACTTACCATGACTTTTTCACCTTTTCGTTCACACTGTGTCCAATTGAATACAACAAATTATAACATCAATTGTCTATTATTTCACACTGTATGCAATTGAATACATCAACTTCAGATACTAATAATCGTATTACTGTTAATTACCTAAAGTGTCCAACTGAATATTAGCATAAAGATAACCTTTCTCAACAATACACAACATTCAGTACATTTTATATTGTCATAAGTTATGTCCAGTTGATAATTTAGGAAGTGATGTAATGAGATCGCGAAATCACTATAGCACTCTCTCAATAATTGTTTTCTATGTTCATCTACTTAACCATAGATGGCAACACATATCGTATAAGGAAAATTAAATAAATTACTATTTAACTGGGAATAAGCCACAATTAAAGATAAAAATATGGTTATTGACGTTTCAATTTCGTGGAAATTGAAACGTCAATAAACGTATTTTTATCTTTAATTGTGACTTATTTCCAGTTAAATAGTAATTAATTTAAAATGTCACAAGAAAATAGCTTAAGAACAATATTAAGAAACTTAAATACTACTGATATAGAATATATCAGGAATAAAAGGAAAATTTCCGCTAAATTTGTACGTAGAGGTATACGAATTTGATGTATTCAATTGAATACACTATGAGCGAAAGGGTTCAACATGTTTATTCGCACTTTTTGTGTAGAATGAACCGTTCTCTCAGAAACAACGCTTGAAGCGACCGTTGATTTTGAATAACAGTTACGGGCGCTAAATCAATGTTCAATATAATTTGTATCAGCTCGACGGTAAAAGGTCGATGTCTTTTGGTTCAAGTGTCCTATTGAAAAAAATCAAGATGCGTTTTAAATAAACATGACACGATTTTTGCCATTTTTTACGATTCTCGTGAGATCAATAAAATTGATCACACATTGACCAGTCGTAGTAAAATTTTCATTTTTATAGATAAATCTTTAAAATCTATGACATGAAATTTCAATTTTGAGTTGTGGCAACAAATAAGAGGCATTTGAAATATGAATAAAAAACGCAGGATTTAATGTGTCACATTACAAACGATCGACCGTGACGGGAATTGCTTCCAAGAAGACGAGGGTGTAGTTTATAGCAGAAGTTTTTCTCTTTTGGAAAATACGATCAGTTCCGCAAAATTTATTTTAAATTATTACCACTACAGCTGTTTTGGCAGAGTGCCTTTCCCAAGTGATCTATTTTTGGTATTTGTTTACATGGTCTTTATAAAAGTTTTAAACATTTTGGATCGTTTGTTATGTGAAAATTTAAATCCAGAGTTTTTTAAGCATATTTCAAATGCCTCACATTTGTTCCAAAACTCAAAACTGAAATTTCATGCTGTAGGTTTGGAAGGTTAGGCTCTAGTAATCAAAACTTCATAGTGGCCAGTCAATGAAATGGATAGATCGTATTAATATCATGAGAGTATTAAAGAATGGCAAAAATCGCGCCACGTTTATTTATTTAACACCTTTATAAAATTTGAGTTTATTTGCGGCAAAATACAAACATTTCATACAAAAGCCAAACTCTTTACCTTTAGAACGCATCTTGATTTTTCCTGTCAATAGGATACTTGAATCAAAAGATATCGAATTTTTACTGTCGAGCTGATAGAAATTTTATTGAACATTGATTTCGCGCGCGTAACTGACATTCAAAATCGACGGTCGCTTCAAGCGTTGTTTGCCATAGAATGGTTCATTCTACACAAAATTGCTAATAAACATTTTTGTTTAAAATTATCTCAGCTACCCTTTTTAATTTTTATTTATTTTAAATAGAACACCCTGTATATTAATTAATTTTTAGATTCCTCAAATCATTTTAGACATTTTTTAAATACAACGTCCTATACCTATCTTTGACTGTTTCGGAAATATTAAGTAAAATGTAAAAATTCATATTTAGAAAAGAAAATGATCTATTTGCCGAAATTGGCTACAACATATTCAAAAACTTTTAAATAATACAAATCTAAACAATAATGTCAATGTAGAAGATGTTCAAAATGCTCCCCACGAACGTCTTGGTAACACCCAAATCGTGAATAGAAATTTCTTACCGTTATCTGATACACCCCGTATAAAAAGTTGTTATGGAAAAAAATGCGCAATTATAAATACTAATCGACCTGTTTGATCGTTTTTTTCGAATACTTCTTCATTTATTTACTAGCTAATTTATTCCATTTGGCTGGCACACAGTGTATATTCATTTTAAGCTAAACAACACTGTAATATATTGAGCAAAAAAAAACTAGTTCTGATCCGTTAACAGAAACGAATGTTTTACACTGTATTATTCCATGGTTATCTTTATATTTTTATGTTTTAGGTGCAAATTCGTATTATAATAAATTTATGGTGAGCTTGTTGTTTTTGTTTAATAATGAAAAAAGACTATTAGATGAACGGGGGTCATTTATTATAAGGTAAGAAGCAATCTTAATTATATTATGTTTTCAGGAAATTGGTAGATTTTGAAAATTTTTTGATAATGTTGTGGTCAAACCACAGAATAAATGTTTGTAATACTTTACGAATATTTACGCATCAAAGATTTGATTGTATATTTTTAGTTAAAGAGAGTCTTATAATTTTATCTTTTTAAAATTAAAGATATATAAATGAATCGAATAGATGTAGATTATGTAAGTTTGTACAAATCATTTAGCTGTTCTTCTAACAAGATCGTTTGTGTGTAACTTTAATCTCGTTAAAATCCGGATTGCCAATATTTCTGACGAAGATTAGTTATATAATGAACATGTTTCTTATATACCAGGTGTAAGAGTAACCTCTTCTAGTAACTTAAGCTGTTTGCAGAGATCGTTATACAGTCGCATAGTATACATTTTGAAATTGCGCTTTTATTTTCACAGATACGGCCGATCTTATCAGGCTATCAGGCTTGCTTAATTTGTTAAATGAAACCTTACATAGCAGTATGAAGTGAGAAGATGCGTTGGCTTTATTATCTTTTTTTGCAAATCTCGAGAAGATTTCGTTTGGGCATTGATTTTATGAATATCTTTGTTTGCGTCAGTTCGTGCATATGACAATCTCACAATCTAACTTGCTAATCGGTCTTGTGGAACGTATAATCTGTGGTGCTAACGCAAAACCTGAGTCAAAAAACTTGATTTTGCAGCAGACGAGTTAAAAAGTTTGCGGTGTTTTTGTAATTAAATTTTGATTTATATGAACCTCAATACCCTTCTGATATATTCATAAACAAATACCATTTATCTTTCGTGGCAGATAGGTGTCAAATTTTCAAGGATAACAAAACTATTTAGATAATAAGGACATATCGGGTTTTCCATCGTCAATTTGATTTGTAAAACAGCCTTGTCTGTTATAAACATATAAGTACGTGTGCTTGGTTGTATAGTAATTTCCAGCCACATTTAGTCTGCCAAAAAGTAACTAACTTCGCAAAAAAATAATTACTAAATTCACTATACAGTTCGGACTGGGAATAGCGAACCGATTATAATAGGTCGTTTTCCCCTTTTTTAGTTTCTTAAATCCAGTTTCTAAAGTTTTTTTCGTCCAGTGCTGTTTTGAAATGAATTAATCTAAACGTTTTTCCTATCTAAACCATTTAATTTCAAGTCAATTCACTTTCCTACTGTCGGTGTCAGTGTTTCTTGTGGTTCAATGTGGTCTTGTCATTTCGTGAACCTGAAATGGCTCTTTGCCCCTTACAGTTCGAACAAATTGGAACCAGTCTCGACACACCATAATTGGGATCTCAGTAGCCTCTTTAGATCCCTCAATGTGAGCATGATCTACATCGCATTCCAGGTGCGCATGTTCTGGGAAAATAAACTTCTGATCTACATAATTAACATGACTACTTTTACTGACGAAATATGAAACATTAACATGCCTATTGTGGTGAGCATGTTAATGTTTCTATTTTGGCCCCACACGCATCGGAGTAGATAATAACATGGTTCACAGTTTCAGCCAATATTTCGAGTTTTCTTAAAATATAAGAAGCAATCTGTTTATATCCTTTTCTTCCAACTGCTTCATGCCACATATAGCAGCCAGTTATACCTCCATCTGAAGTTCAGTCTCGGATCGTTAAATTATAAGTTGAAAGGAGACCCTTATAAAAAGAAACGTTAGTTGTCAGTGAAGGGGAATCTTTTGGTTTATATCGTAGGTCTGCCGTGTCCTTGTGTTGTGTTCATCGATTAACTGAATCTTTTCATTTGCATCAGTGTTTTATTCGATATTTAATATGAAAGAATCACACGACTTGCATGTATCGACATTAGGTTGTTTAAATGAGTAACATGTCAATTTAAAAAGCATTACAAAGCAGCATTTGTATACTCAATTTTATATTCATGATATAGAATTTGTGTATTTACATGGTTTTGTAAATACTTTTTCTGCTAGTTCTGCGACCATGTAGGGTTTTGTCTTCATGTTCTTTATCGCTTAATGTACGTCGACGTCATTGTCTTGGCTAAGAGACGCTAATTGTATCCGAACGTCTGCGGTCCCTCCGGTCAGTACCGATCACACAAGGATAGAAATTATTTTCATTTATTAATTTTTTTAATAAACGAAAACTTCCACCCTCTTACCCACGCTCTTACCACTGAGCCACAGAGGGGGTTAAACATATTGACATAGAAAACGAAAAATAGATAATTTTTGACATATCGGGTTTTCCTTTAGTACTACAGAAATATCACTGGTCAAGCTACTTTAGGCTAGCGGTACGTGACTTTTGCTTAGACCACAAAAAGTCTGGATCTAGATAACAGGAATGTCATTTATGACCTGGTACCGACATCGAAGGTACAACGTTTCTTGTTGCCAGTTAGTACAAAGAGTTGACTGTTTAAAATAATATAGACCTTTCTCCTAAAGCTATCTCTACCGGGGCACTCCTGTGTATTGCTGTTTAAAACGTGTATTTTCGCGTAAAAGATAGTTGCCAATGGATTTTAAACATCTGGATTTTGACGCTTATTCCGTTCCAGTACTTTTATATATCTTGTATGTATCCTTACAAGTGATTCAAACTCTAGTTCTGCTTTAGCCACAGTAACTATTCTGTGATTTTCTGTCACCGGACATACTTCTTAACTGCCATTAGTATATTTTATAAATGCCATGAGCGTTTCGATTTTGATGTAGCCTTACTACGTACAATGTTTTGTTAGTCAAAATTTTTTAATTATGTTATTTTGAAATATTTTTAATAATGAATAAAAGGGAATATTCTGAATTTGATATTTCACCTTGTGACTACTTATTTCTGAATAATATTATTTATGTTTTGTAACAATTCCCATTATTGAATAACAACTCTCTTGCATTTGGTTGCACAATTGTTTGTTAACTTGTTTAACGGCATTTAACAAGTAAAAAATATATCAATAACTAATATTTCGTTAGAGCGCAGAAGAAAAACAAAAGATAAGCTCTCATATGCTGCTTTTTATGTTTTGATAGAATTGGTTAATTATCCGTCGGCCATATTGTAGGCCTTCATTAAGGTCAGAGTTGTATTGTTATACATTTTTTAACAATCAGACAGGTTTGGTTCTTTTATAATTTATTAAGATAACATATTTTCGACATCTAAAACACTGAAAGCTAATATGTTTATACACTCATGGACAAAAATATTGAATATTTTGGAATTTTCCCATTTTTTTTGTACTCACTACATTCCAAAACAATTTTAGATTACTGATTACACTCATATAGTAGGCTGATGTACTCAACTGGTTTGAAATATTTTGACCTTTATTTTGCCAAAGTCGTTTAGACTTTGACGTTTCGTACGAAGGCCTGCTCAAGGACGTTCAAGACGCGCAGCCACACTTATGACCGTTTTTTTTTGTTCTTATTTCGACACTAAATCGTTCAGTGACATCGAAGTTAACGTATTACTCACGATGATGAAGTTTGCGACACGAGCGAAAGCGAGTGTCGTAATTCATCAGAGTGAGTAATAGCCATTACGTGCGAGTAGAATAATATACTTTTTCTACGACCTTTTTTAATTTTTAATAGTAAAAAAATATAATTATCAACTACTCGAGATTGTTTATTACTAGTAGTGCAGTACATGTTTATGGTTGATGTGGTTAATGTGGCTTGTGAATCTGAATTTTCTTAATTAAATTTTGAATGTTGGGGTCAAAATTTGTTACAGCTAATAAAATTAGATTTTTCAAATGATTATTGGTTAATTTTGAACGATATTGTGATTTAATAACATATATAATTGAAAACATTTCTTCACAAACATACGTCGAACCAAAACGACAACAATACCGCAAAGCAAAATTGTGAAGATATGGAAAATCATTACTTTGCAAATCTATAATTTTCATTTGAAATTCCGGCGGATAATTTTCAACGTCTTTAAGTTAAAATGGAAAAAAGATTTGTGAAAAGTTGACTATTTTTATTTTCCTTCTGGAAATCCTGAAATCTCGTAATAAATGAGCTTTGAAGACTTGACATTAAATTTTTAAACTTATCGTAATTTGGAACAATCTTTAATTTGATGGCTAATTCTTTCATGAATTTAAAATGAGTGAGTTTTTTTTTTCATTAAAATCTGAATAAAAAAGTGATAGTTTGTTTTTAAACGAGCTCACGTGGCTAACTAAGGTTAGAAAAATACAATATTTTCCTTGTAAAAAAAAGGTAAAGGTATTAAAAAAAAGGTTTAGGGCCCCTGACAGCCACAAAATGTCAATAATATTAATTCCCAAATTATTTATAGTTATCGTATAGAAAAAAGTATATTTGCTTCAAACCTGTTTCTGATAAAATTTGGCACCACTGTTGGTCATAAGAACGTAAAGTCAAGGTGGAACAGACTACATATAAATGTAGTGTTTTCTGTGAAAAATTATGTAACTTTACACAAATGGTAGTATAAAATTTAGGTAAAATAAGAGTAAACATAAGAGTAAGTTTTTGTACATCCCAAATGTGATATTCTGTTACCGTTAACAGAAATTAAAGAATCTTTTGACGAGACGAGTGATTATGTGATATATATTATTTATAAAAACCTTACGACTGTACTGTTAACAAATATGTATGCTGTATTAATTTGACATGTTTTTCAGGCAACTGTGTGTATTATTAAACGCCGAAGAAATTTATAAAACTCTTGCCCAAATACTCAGGAAAGAAAGTAATCTTAAGTTTGCTAGTCTTATGGTAGAACACCTGAATATGATTTTATTGACGTCTTCCGAATTGTATGAAATGCGAAACAAATTAAAGGATCTCATTACTGAGGTAAGAAAAGTGGATTAAGAATATTAGTTTGATTTTTTCTTTAGTTGAAAAAAATAAATAAAAAAATAAGCTTGGATAAGTGAATGTCTCAAGGAGTTAAAACCATATAAAAAACTTTTTTCAATATTTATTTTAAGAAACAAAGTTGTTTTTAAACATTCAAAGACATAATTTAGATTAAAAAAATATTTTTTGCTTTTGTTTGGTACAATAACAATTTTTTGAGCATTACGAACTTCGGATACTACATCGAATCGTCAACGTACTAATTAATGAAATTCTAAAGTTTACGCCCCGGTACGATTTGAACCCGGGTGCCTTCATGTCAAGGACGAATCCTATCCATTACACCACCAAGGCTTTCCAATAACAACTTGTTACCCACTTGTTAACAAAATTATGTATATAATCATAAAATTATACCAACTCTACAGGAATATGTAATATGGGCGACAGAGAAGTAACTGTTTTTTGCTATTTATATGATGTTGTCTATGCAGTTCAGAATAGATATGAATAACAAAGTCTACTATAAGAATTTATCTAAATTCAGGATAGACATGGAAATAAATAAAAACAGAAGACGAAAATATTAAAAAGTAAAAAAAGAATAGGAAGAACACATTAGCAGAATAGATAACATTAGGGTAGTGGAGGTATACTATTTGTAACTACAACTTACAGAACAGAAGGGAAAGAAGTAATTTGGTATATAAAACAAATAATGAAGACCATATCTACACTCCTAGCTGAGTGATTTCCGCTCTTTTCGTTTTCGTCTTATTCATTTATCCCGGGAATCGGTCGGCATTAACTTTTTTTGGTTCTACAATTGGCAGGACTTGTTGTCTTCTACAATCTTCCTTCGTTCTCCCCCGTTTTTACACATGATTTTCCAGTCTCTAACTTTAAATTTCTTAAGATTCTTAATTATCTAGTCCTCCTATCTACCTCTTGGTCTACTTGTTACAGGTCTCCATTTCGTGATTTTGATGACTGCTTTTTTATCTTAGCTTACTAGATATCCCTCGGACACTTCATGCCTTGGCAACACGTTTTTTCCTGTTAAAAGTTCCCTTATTCTGTAGTTCATTAATTTTCTTAACTCACTACTTCTCAACTTCATGACCTAGGTTTATTAGTCCTACTATTCTTCGAATTATTTTCCTCTCTTATTCTATATTACCTCTATTCCTAGGATTCTTAATCTTGCCTCGTCTTTGTATGTCAAGCATTTTTTATTTTTTCGGCAAAATATATGATTACTGGTCTAATTGGTGCTCTGTAAATCTCCAGTTTTGTGTTTTGGTTGAGTAAAACACAACTGTTGTATTTCCAGTAAGTTCTGTTTCTTAATAAAAGGCGTATCTTTCAGCGCTATGTCAATAGTATACGCCACAAGTTGAGATATGGATGTTATAAATTTATCTTTTGTTTGCTCTTATGTTACTATCAAATGCTTGCTTAAAATCTATGAAGAGGATGTGCAAGTCTATGTCATATTCATAACATTTGTCAATTGACTGTATAATTATGTGTACAGCGTCTATTGTTGACCTTTCCACTCTAAATCCCTGCTGGTAATCTCCTAATTTAGTTTCAATGCATTTTGCGTTGAAAATCATTGCGTTGAATCGTTGTCTGATTAGTGTAGTCAATATTTTGTTACAGCTGTTTAACCATGTTAGTCCGCTGTAGCTGTTGCCTTTCTTTAAAATAGAATCTATCCATCCTGTTTTCCATTCTCCTAGCACTCATTCTTCTTCCCAAATTTTTATTCTTAGTTCTTAGATTTTTCGCTGCCACCCTTTTTCACCTCGTTTTAATGGTTCTTTTGGGATTTCGTCTGGATCTGTTGTTTGTTTTCTTCTTCGTTCTTTCCATCAACTGTTGTTTCTTCTCTGTACGCGTGATTTTTATACCCATTGTTAAATAACTCTTAGTAATGATTCTCTGATGTTTTTTATTTTAATATATCTTAACTGTTTTTTCTTATTTTGAAGTTTGTTTAAATAATTTCAAAAAGAACTATCGGATGAAATTGATATAAAAAGAAGAGTGAGGAACGACGTAAGCGTGAACAACAGTAGATAGCTAAACATGTAATCAGTATCGATTAAAACGGAACGTTAAGAAAACTAAATCTATGATAGTTAGCAAACAACAGTACATACGGAATGACGGTATTAGAGTGGGAACGGCAGTGCTGGACAGAGCGGTGAAACTCGTGTATCTCGGTAGTAATATGAATGAGAGCTGGAATCCAACCGTAAAAATTAAAAGCCGAATAGAAAGGGCCCGAGCAACGTTTGTAAAAATGATAAACGTCCTTTGCAGTCACGATTTTGAGGCCATGTTTAAACGCTTGCAATCTGTTGAAATGTAACAGAGTCGGAAATAAGGATGTTCTTAGAAGGCTGAATCAAACAACCTTTTACATATCATCATATAGTGAAAGATCCAATATAAACGTGATCCTGTCAGAAGAAGAACGTGATAGCCTAATAAAAACTTAAGACAATGGTACGGATCATGGAACTAGAAGAGAAAGAAGCTCCCGAATATGTTGACAGAGGATCTATTTTAACAATTACTAACAAAATTTTATAATTTTTTTTTAATAAAGCTTAAAATATTGAGGCAAAATATTATATAAAATTTAAAGTATATTACATTTTATTAATTTTCTTTAATTGTTTTAGGATAGTAAAGCTTTATTCTGCTGTTTGTATGAAACGTGGTGCCACAATCCAGTAGCTACTGTCTCTTTGTGTTTGCTCACTCAGAGTTATAGCCACGTGTGTGACTTAATTAAAATATTGTATCCTTTTTACAACATAACCTTTTACTCATTCACTATTATTATCAGATGTTTATTGCTAGTATCCCTTTATTGATTGTTTTATTTTATTTTGACACAGTATATACCCGCATAATATTTTATCGGATTTATGAAATAAACCCTTACCGAAGCATCGAATATATACTCAGTATGGTTGATTTTAACGTCTCTGTTGGCAATGATATGGCGCTTTATAAAAGGCCAAAGAACGAAGGTAAAGGAGCTAATGTCCTAAAACACATTGAAAAGGATACATGGATTGACTATCTAAAAAAGCTAAATACATACGAAGAACAAATGACGCTTGAACCGGAAATATCAAAAATTACCACAGATGAAGAAGTTAATATAAATACACAGGAAGTTCGAAAAACACTTAAAAAACTGAAGAACAGAAAAGCTGCAGGTAAAGAAGGAAACGAATAACTGAAATATTGTGGAGCATCAATGACAGAACAATTAACAGCATTAATTAGCAAAATTATAAAACACAATAAAATGCCGGACGAATAGAGAACGAGCGAACTAATTCTACTATTCAAAAAGGGAGATTAAATTGCCAGAAAACTACAGACCTATCAACTTGTTAAATACTATCCTAATAATTACAAATAAAATTTTACAAAAACTAACGAATCAGAGGATACGTTTAGCAGATGAGCAACATAATTGGAAGATGCAATCGAGTACAGATGCAATAATTCGCCATAAAGCAAATTGCTGGGAAATCACAAGAAAGCATTTGAGAGAGTAATACTCAAAGATGCAATCCATTTTTTATATAATAGAGAAGTTCCCCTAGATATCCTAAATGATATTGAAAACATACCAATACCAACAAAATGGACATCAGAATAGATGAACAGCTTACTAAACCTATAGACAAGGCAGCGGAATAAGAATTATTGTTCTTTATTTTTTTTTATGAATGAAATCATCAAAAGTATCAACAAAGGAGGGGGATACAGAATGGGAAACAAAGAAGTAAAAGTAATAATCAGTTAAGCAGTCGACACAATATTGATAGCCCAAGATGAAGATAGTCTGTAAAGACTAGTCCACAGATTTAACATAGAGCAAAGGAATTTAATATCACAATCTCAACCCAGAAAACTAAAACAATAGTAATCAGCAAATAACTATTCAGAAGTAAAATAGAAATCTATGGCATCAGTATTTAACAAGTAATGGAAATAAAATACGTTGGAATTACACTATTCAACTATGGAGTCCTGAACAAAAAAAGTGTGAGAACAAGTGCAAAAAACAAATAAACTGGCAGGATGCCTTAATAACACTACATGGCGAAACCGATATATTAATACTGAGATAAAGTCAAGAATTTATAAAGCCAGTATCAGACCAAATAATGACATATGTATCAGAAACAAGATCCGACAAGGCCACAACACAAAGGCTAGAATAGAATAGCATCAGAATAAATGAACAGCTTACTGAACCTATAGACAATGGCAGCGGAATAAGAATGGTTGTTCTTCAATTTAATCATGAATAAAATCATCAAAAGTGTCAACACAGGAGGGGGATACAGAATGGGAAACAAAGAAGTAAAGGTAATAATCTGTTAAGCAGCCGACACTTAACATGGAATTACCACTATTCAACTATAGCAGGACATTAGAGTACTCAGAATTACAGGAAATACACTGAGAGATCAAAAGATAAGTGAAGGCATTAGAATAAAATGTAACGTACAGTGTATAAACGAATGAACACTAAACAGAAAAAAGAATGGAATAACCGCATACGCAGAATGGAGAGACCGTGTGGTCCAAATAGCAAGAGATAAAGCACCAATCGGTAGAAGTATCGGACGACCGCCTAAAAGATGGAGTCACAATCTTATGTAGATATCAATCCGTCAATGAATAAGCAGAATTGCTTATAAAGAGGAAGAAGAAGATCAAAGCATCATATGATGGAACAAGTTGGTTTTAGATTCAAAATATACACTACCTAACTAGTAGAAGTAACAAAGCAACAAAACAACAAAGAACACTGATCAAACTATATTAAATCAAATACCAAGCACGAATAAGATAAATGCTTTCTACAAATAAATTTTATTGGCTTAGTATAAATTCCCAATATTAATGATTATTCTTATTTTTTAAATTATAAAACTGTTTATTTCATCTATTAATAATGACTGGTAGGAATTTTGTTGTTGTATGTGAATAATAATATCGCATTTCTAAATGGATATAAAGTTGAAAACTTGTAAAAATATTAAAATCTGCAAGATTTATTGAGAAACAAGATACAATTGCTGAATTGTTCTCTTAAGTAATGGGAAAGTCATGAATGTGTTGCTTGTGTGAGTCCATATCAAATAGGTAAAGAAATAATAATAAGACTTACTCACAATCAATTTAATTTAACAATCAGACGACCGGTTTCGCTTTCTACAATTTGCAAAGCATCTTCAGGTCTAGATACAAAGTTAAACTAATGCTGCAATAAAATAAACCCAATTAGGTGGTGTCTAATAGAGATAAAATAAACAAATAAGTTAGTTCATACAAATTATAGTAATTATGCCAATATTACATGTCTGTGGTTTTCAAAATGAATAAATTTGAATATATAAAAGGTATTAACAGACAAGGTAAGACCCACAATTGGTATAAAGTAGTAATATAATATTAGTAGGTACTAATCGCAGAAACTTGGGAAGATCTTCAAATACTAATTAACAAAATAGTAGAATGCAGTGAAGAACACGGATTATCACTTAACATAAGCAAAACAAAAATAATGCTAATATCTAAATCACCACAAAACTTTCCTGACATAACCGTGCATGATCAAAGAATCGAACGTGTAAGAAGATATAATTACCTGGGAACTGTTATCAACGAAAATAATGATTGCTCTGAAGAAATCAGAACCAGAATAGAGAAAGCTAGAGCCACATTTACTAAATTGAAAAAGGTGTTCTGCGGAAGAGATCTAAGTCTAAAACTTAAAATTCGCCTTTTGAGATGTTACGTTATGTCAGTTCTCTACGGGATGGAAACATGGACATTGAAAAAGATCGATACCAAAAAGATAGAAGCATTTGAGTTGTGGATGTATCGTAGAATATTAAGAATACCCTGGACAGAGAAAGTAACAAATGTGGAGGTTTTGCGGAGAGTGCGGAAAGAGAAAGAGCTTACTGTTAAAAAGCGCAAACTACAATATTTGGGACATATTATGAGGGGAGATAAATACCAGTTGCCGCAATTGATTATACAGGGAAAGATAATGGGAAAGAGATCTATAGGAAGAAGAAGGCATTCATGGTTGAAAAACTTGAGAGAATGGTACAATTGCACCAATTACCAACTGTATAGATCTGCAGCATCAAAAATACGCATAGCTTTGATGATAGCCAAACTTCGGAACGAAGACGGCACCTGAAGAAGAAGAAGAGTAATATTATATTGTAATAAATTAATAAATGAGCAGATAAATAAAACAAAACAAACATTATTTACATGCCGGTACTCTATTAATTGATGGACCATCAATTAATAGAGTACCGGCATGTAAGTAATGTTTGTTTTGTTTTATTTATCTGCTCATTTATTAATTTATTACAATATAATATTACTACTTTATACCAATTGTGGGTCTTACCTTGTCTGTTAATACCTTTTATATATTCAAATTTATTCATTTTGAAAACCACAGACATGTAATATTGGCATAATTACTATAATTTGTATGAACTAACTTATTTGTTTATTTTATCTCTATTAGACACCACCCTAATTGGGTTTATTTTATTGCAGCATTAGTTTAACTTTGTATCTAGACCTGAAGATGCTTTGCAAATTGTAGAAAGCGAAACCGGTCGTCTGATTGTTAAATTAAATTGATTGTGAGTAAGTCTTATTATTATTTCTTTACCTATTTTAATGGGAAAGTATTAAGGATAATAAAATTATACAGAAACGTTATAAAATGTACATCAAGTCTACTATGTGTTTTAACTGTTATCCTAGTATTTTGGATACTTATTTTAGAATGAAAATTCTAAAAATTCAAAATTCAAATTGTCACGTAGTTTAGACCAAATAAGAAGGGAATAGACGAAAAAATGACAAGAAACAAAAGAATTCTATCAGCAGATATCGACCACAGTTTTATTAATTAAAATCTTGCCCAAGTACTTTCGCTTCCTAGAGCACCTGGCGTATGCTCGATATGCTCGATATCTGCCTTTTAGTTGATCAAAGTATATTTCTTTTTGTTTAAATTTCTTAACAAATATTTAGTGGCAATTTAGAGGTAACCGTTGAATTTTTAATCGAAATCGACAAGTTAGTTCAACTTATAGAATCTCCTATTTTTGCATGTAAGTATTTCAACCATGTATGTAATTATTTTGAAGTTTTAGAGAACTTCCAAGTACTACTTTTTAAGCAAATTTTCTACACATCTTCAAACGAATGATATTAAGAATATGAAATGAATCTGTGCAATCGTGAAAACAGTATTTGGCATCTATGACTTGAAAGTTTATAAGCAATAATAGGCCAATTAAGATAGTTTTTTACTCTTTACAACTGTATAGACGTGTTTGACAGTTGAAATGTGTATTATGAGATAGTACAAAAAGACTCTCATCTAGAAATTCATTTTTTTTTCGTGGAACTATTCTTAAATATACAATCAAAACCTCAAATTCATTATTTTGTTGTTCACTTAAAATCCTTTCTCTTTAGAGATTTGACGTTAACAGACAACTTCATCATAAAAAAAGATATACAAGATGAGATATATGCTAAATTAAAATCGGAAAATAAACAAAAAAGTTTGAATTGTGTGCAAAAGATGAGCCGGATCTGGAATAGTTTTTGCGAAATTTAATTTGTTTATAAGATTTTTTGAAAAATGAGCTAATTTCTAAGGCTAGTCCAGATAATTTGGCTAAATGAATCTTAATAATAATTCGGGCTTATGTTCTTTTTTAACACGTAGGACTACTAATAACCTATGAAAAATAAAAGTTAAAAAAAAAAATACATTTATGCGCACAAAATATTTAAATAGCACTTTTTAAGTTTATAAATATTTACATTAACGGCGTAAATTAAAAGGCAAAAAAGTATTTGGAAAGCCGAGTTGGTTAAAAAACTCAACTTTAAGAAATTCAAATAGTTCCTACGACCTTTAGGAGGCAAAATAGCCCCCTTCAACAAAACTCCTGTTAACGTTAATTAGCAATATTAAGGACTGAAATTAGATATTCTTTTATAAGAAAAGTCGAAGTGTTAAACAAAACTTTTAGCAAACAAAATTATTGAAAATTGGTTTAACAAAGAGTACTTTGCATTCCGGCTAGAGTAAAAGGAATGGGGGTAGCCGACTGAAGGGCTAGTCGGGCTCTTAAAAATATTCAACACCGTTTCAAAAACAGCGATCGGAAAAAAATTACATATCTAGGGTTCTGATGGACCAAATTTGATCTTTGTTTTTTAAATTGAAGTACAACGTTAAAATAACAACATTTAGCGTATTTTCATTGCAAAATTATCCAAAACAAAGCAGCTAATGACTACGGGATGTACAAATCTTTTCTGTCACCTCTGCGTTTCTGTCACCTCTGATAATTTCTGCGTTATACCACTGGGTTGGTGTTCTTGCTTCCTGCAAACATCTAGTGAATAGTTTGGCAAGGACCTGCCATAATCTTTTTCCACTTTCTTGCACTGACCTTCGAACTTCATTGGGTGTTACGTCCGTTAAAATTTCAGATCCCTGATTGATTATCTTTGGTAATGATCCACTCCGGTTACATTGCTATTCTTTGTATAGTTCTCTATAAAAACTCTCTATCGTGTTCATAATTTGAACTCTATTCAAATGGCTATACAGGAGCTTTATAGACATATGAATATGGCATTGATACCCATCACCTCTTCATATATTTTTAAAGTGCTTATGACATTGTAGACAGAAGCGCACTTTATAATGCTATGGCAGAACTAGATATTCCGTCGCATCTAATAACATTGGTAAAGGCAACTCTTTCGAAAGTTGAGTGCACAGTCAAGGTACAAAACAGAGTGTCAAGGTTTTTTCAAACACATACTGGATTACGCCAGAGAGACAGTCTATCGTGTCTATTGTTTAACATCGCGCTAGAAAGAGCCATAGAGAAATCGGGCATAACAACCAGAGGTACGATCATCAATAGAAGTGTACAGATATTGGCCTATACAGATGACATTGACATAGTAACACGGACAAAACGAGACCTGATACAGGCTTTTGAAACATTAGAAAAAGCTGCGAAGACAATGGGACTGTAGGTTAAAGTATCCAAAACAAAATACATGAAGGTCACAAACAGCACACAAATAGCGGCACCACAAGATCTGGCGACAGAAGCCCACACATTCGAAAGGGTCTCGGAGTTTATATATCTTGGAACACAACTAAATAACAGGAACCTAGTAAGCGTAGAAATTAAGAGAAGAATATACCTGGCGAACAGAGTTGTATTAATGCTATTAAAAATGCAACATCGTCCGGTCTATTAAAATTAATAGACTAAGGTGGCTAGGACACCTTGAAAGCATGGACACTGGAGACCCCCAAAGACAGATATTCCATCAAGAGCCAGTAGGAACCAGGAAGAGAGGCAGGCCAAGATCTAGATTTAAAACTCAAGTCGAAGATGACTTGAGGAATCTAGGGGTCAGAAATTGGAAAGTCAGATCGAAAGATAGGGGGGAATGGAGACTAATTCTTAAACAAGCCAAGACCCACCCAGGGTTGTAGAGCCAAAGATTATGATGTTGATGATACAGGAGCTTTGTCAATACTTCAAATGTTTTTTTAGTGATTGTTTTTATAAGGTCTCAAATTTTCATTTTTTCAACTATAATAATTTTTAATTGTTTACTTACAAATAATTAATGTAATATGAAGTACCATTACCATTATATTAGCAATATCCCTTATGCCGCGCAGTATATTTATCCACAGCAAATATTTCGAAAATTAGGATTATTTCAGTACCCTTTGATAATATCTGTAATTGAATGTGAATGATATATATTTTTTCTACTTATGTGTACGTTTTAATATTATTTTAGATTTGAGATTAGAATTACTCGAAGTACCTTGTAACCAGAATTTAGTTAGAGCCTTGTACGGACTGTTGATGCTGTTACCACAAACAGATGCATTTACTACCCTTAGAACAAGATTAAGTTGTATTCCTAGTCTGCAATTAAACTGTGATGACAAGTAAGTTATCGAATTATATCTATTTCAATTTTTAATCTAGTGGACGTTGTAATAATAACTGTTTTTCATTTTCAGTAAAAAAAACCAAAAAGAAATCGTCCCTAGTAAATACTGTAAACTTCCAACAGTTGTTAAACCATTTTGTTGATGTACAAGAAAGGCATAAAGAATTCAAGAAGAGTCAACGTACCAAAGAAATATCAACCCTAGATAAGGATACTATTATAGATATATAGGAATAACCATTACCTCTTATTTTTACCAATAACTTTGTACATAATTATTTATACATTCCACGCTCGAAATATATACGTTATTTACCTATGATCATTTTTTTGTGGTTGTATTAAAGTGAATGAGTAATTTGGTATACGAAATTGAAGACAGCAATTTGATTTTTGGATAGGGAAAACACATTCAAAGCAAGCAATACGCTACAGATTTTTGCGACCGCCAACGCTACGCAAATTGGTCGAAAAGTCGCTTGGCTCGAGAACGGCTCGACAGATCGTGACCTGTGGGGTCTCGTTGGAAAGACGAGACGGTAACCAGCATAATGAACAAACAAATATGGCGGCATGGCCAAGAGGACGTTACATCATATCTGCGTTGTTATTGGTCCGATTGGAGCTTGTGATGCGTTAAATGAATGAGAAGGGGATAACGATTATATTAGGATGGTAAAAAATAAACAAGTCTACCTAAAGAGCACTACACAGCATCTTCGTTATGAATGAATGTATAGTTACATATGAGTTATCAGATGTCACTATGGATGAAAATAGATTTGCTAAGATAAATTGTGATTTATTGACTTAAAGAATGCATCTGGCTGAGTATTTCATGTAAGAATGATTTGTTTCAAAGGCCATTAAAAAGGAAAACAGTAAAATTAACAATAAAAAAAATATGTAATGTACAAGTTCATTAAATAAATACGTGGACCAAAAAGTGGTATATGGAAGTGGTTAAAAGCCGACTATACGGAAGAGGGTTAAAAGACCTCATATATAAAGAATATAACCCATATGATTCTGTAGAGCAAAATGGGTTCAGGGTCGGTAGATTCACAAAAGACAATATTTTTAGCATAACCCAAGTCATAGAAAAAAGGCTTTCAAGGGCATAATAATTACATTTTTACTAATCGTGGATTTAACTAAATTATATGACACGGTACCCATTAATAAGCTATGGGAAGTCCTAGGGAAAACTAATATATAAATATAACTCCCGTTGATGCTCTGAAAGAACTGTACAGAAACTCTACCTCTAAAATTGGGAAATAAAATATCGGAAGGCTTCCTGGACACTAAAGGGTTTAGACAGGGATGGTGTATATCTCCAGTATTATTGAATGTACACATTAATGAGGTCCTGAGACAGTATAAACAGAAATGTAAGAGAATGAGATTGCCGATAGGGATACAATACTCTACATATTAAATTACATAGATGTACAAATCATACAAAACAAGGAACGTTTTTAAAATATATGTCAAGTAAACTTGTGGAAGAATACAGAAGGTGGAGTCTGAAGGTCAACATGATAAAACACAGTACCATGTATAGGACGAAAAGAAGCTACGGAAAAACTGGACCTGGACTAGGAAAACTAGGGTTGAGGGGGGGGGGGTGATTGAGTCAAAAATTTTTGTACGGCATTTATAACTTGGATAGGTAATATAACAAAAATAGTGACCTGCGACCTAATGCCGTACAAAAATATTGGTACCAGTAGCAGGGACAATCGTTATAAAAATTTGAAAATTGAACATATTTTTAAAGTACATTGTGGTGTATGTTATGTTATATTTTAAATTCTGTGGCTGTTATTAGCTTAAAAGTAGTGTTGTAAAAACAACATTTTATATTAATTTTAGTGTAATTTTTAGTTCTCACAAACATTTGTTTGGAATTTATGCTACAGACTGTACTTTTTGTCTGCAAAATATTTGTGCCATAAATAGATTATAAGGGTTGTTGGGTGGTAAAACCGACGCCGCCTTGTCGGCACTTTTAGGTAAAGATTCAATCAAAAATCTCTCGCAGATGTGACTAGAGTCTCAAACTGTGCGGTACCAGCCGGTACCTAGCGACTAAGCTCTCTCTTCGCCGCCAAAAATGCAGTGAAATGTGTATTTGTTTTTCTCAATAGTTTCGCGCGCCCGTAAAACGCCGATAATAATAATGGACAATGTTTTAAAGCGAACTCTTTCGTTAGTATTAGTGCTTGTGTAAATATTCTCTCGTTATTAAATGTGTAGATTCAATTAATTACGCTTATTTTTTCTCCAAGTACAACCCCTATTAAACCAAACACATAAAGAACCAGCGCCGTGAAGTCTGCTTGTATACATCGAAGGAAACTCTTGTACAGTCCGGATATTTATATGAATGTAGTTCAAAGACTCTTGAAAAGACTAAGGTGTCGCGATAAACTCTGAAACAAAAAGACAGTAGTGAAGTTTATATAGTGTTTGTGTCTGTTCCTGCCAACTACTGGACAAATTGGGTGAGATTTTTCCATATTATAACTTCGCTTATGCACAGGGTAAACGCTTTTCAAAAAGACTATCTCTTTAAAAATTTATCTGTAGACATTTGTTGACATTTACAGAGTGTGCCAAAAATTTAATTGCAAAAATAAACTCTCATGTGTGATTTAAGACTTTTACGCGTTTATACTATTCGCGTTGTATTAATATACTAAATATAACTTATTCTCGTTGTGTGCTATACATGTTATTATATAAGATAAACATTACTCACTCTATACTCGCCGTGTGATACACGTATTATTATATAATAGAAACATTAATTCCTCGATGTTTGCACGACCTTAGGCAGTTATTTTGGAGTAGCACTTTTTGTTGAAAATCGAAATGGAAGATCTTAAGAAGAAGAGGAACCCGCTGAAGGCCAAGATTACTAGAATAGTAAACTGGCTGCTAGAAAACGCAGATGCAGAAACTGACGGTCTCCAGTTTCAACTCAGACACACCGAATTGAAATCATGTTATCTGAAGTATGAAGAGGTGATGGATCAGATTGAAGAAATCGATGAAACCGATTCTGAAACAGAAGACAGAGCACTCATGGAAAAAATACTTTTCTACACTAGCTGGACTGCAGCATAAGATGGAAGCATTAAAGTTACCCTCCCACTCGCTCAGCTCAAACGATACTCCGTCAACTGTAGCCACTGCTAAGGTTAGGTTGCCGGAAATTACAATGCAGGTATTTTCTGGAAACTTCGCCGAATGGAACGCGTTTTATCAGCTATTTGAAACGCTAATAATCAATAATGTGGAGCTGAACAATGTGCAAAAATTTATATATCTTAAATCCTTCTTAAAAAACGAACCTTTGCACTTAATTGAAAACATTGAAGTTGTAGAAGAAAATTTCCGGATCGCTTTGGACACGCTCAAGATCGATACGAAAATAAATCGCGTGTAATTAGTTTACATATTCAAAAATTGTTAAAGGCTCCATCTTTAGCTAAAAGTAACTCAAAATCATTACGAGAATTTTTAACTCTTTGCAAACAAACTTTACTCGCACTCAAGAATATGTCAGTACCTATCGAACATTGGGATTTATTGTTAATCGAAGTATTTTTGACAAAAATTAGATTTCGCTACTCACCGGTCATTTGAATATGAAATAGGTTCAAAGGCTTTACCTACTCTCTCACAGTTTTTTTGTTTTCTTGAAAAAAAGTGTGATATACAAGAAAAATTAAACGTTTCTGATAATGATAGAAAATTTACTAAGCCTCAGTTAAAAACATCTTTGTTTTCATCAGTTAACTCACAAACAAACTCTTTTTCAGATACTAGTTGTATATGTTGCAAAAGTAATTCGCATAAAATTTATCAATGTAATGATTTTAAATGTCTCTCTTTACAGGAAAGATTTAATTTTGTAAAAGGTAAGAAACTTTGTTGGAATTGTTTGGGTAATAAACATTTTTCTCAGTTGCAACTCTGCACGTCAGGTATATGTAGAAAGACATCACTCGCTCTTGCATAGTACCTGAAATGTCTCTTCCTCTAGAACACGAATAGCAATCTTTCCCGATTGATCGCAACGCTCAAGCTCCCAAACATTCTCAAGGTTCTTCCAGTCGTGTCGCTCACATACCTACTCCGCCTTATAGTGCTCATACCCAAAATGAAGCTTCTACCAGTTCGTTCAAACCTCCTTTAGAAGTACAAAACACTGCAGATTCTCACACAGCCACTTCTCTCTCTGCTTTATCAGTTAAAACTGATGTATTGTTGGCTACCGCTTTAGTGACAGTGTATTCTAAAGATGGCAGGCCTATGCATGCCAGAGCGCTCCTAGATAATGGGAGTCAACATTCATTCATTTCTCGTGATTTGGTTGAGAAGTTAAACCTCACCCCTTATTTTAAGCAGGTACAGATATCAACCATATCCGAAAACACCTCATTGTCAAATCAAATGATTAACATAGAATTTTTTCCCTATAATGTGAAGGATAAAAGTTTCAAACCCTCTTTTGCTGTACTTGATAGTATAACTTGCAGACTTCCTAAAGCTACCCTAAATAGAAGCAAAATAAATGTTCCCCCTAATCTCACTCTCGCAGATCTCTCGTACTCTGTTCCCGGTAAAATTGATTTGCTTCTAGCTGGTGACATCTACAGCGAATTATTGACTGATGGATTCATACGTTTAGGAAAGAATCTTCCATTCTTCAGAATACCCACTTGGGTTATGTTATTTTTGGTACTCTTCCCCCTCATGTCTTTCATCGGAGTTCAAATTTGGCTATTTCTCAGTAAAATGTTTCTCTCTTTGTTCAGTCCGAATCCGAAGAGAATAATTTCGATAAATTAATTCAACAATTCTTCGAGATTGAAGAAGTTCCGCACGTTAGTAAATTAACCCCCGATGAGAAAGTGGCTGAACAAATATTTACTAAAACCACTCGTATTTTACCTTCAGGTCGTTTTCAAGTAAATCTTCCACTTGTCTCCGAAAATGCGAATAAAAGATATTGTTAACAAGCTGATCGCTTGGACGGACGTTACACCTGGAGATAAGAGAACAATAGAAGGCGATAAGAGCGACAACAATAGAACAATAGGACCATTGTCCATTGTTCTATTCCCATTGTTCAACTTCAACGGTTTTTCTGAAAACCGTTAGGGCTCATAGAGCTGTTATTGTGTTGGTTGGGTGCTCCCGTCTACTGTTTCGGA